ACCAATTTGCAGTACACACCTCCACTGAGATGGTGCCAGCAGGCAGCAGCAACGAGTCAGCTTATCGTACCAATTGCTATCGTCTTAATCCTACGGCATCAAGGTGTAACTTAGACATAAACTTTTACCCGCACATCATCTTGATTCACTCTACCGAAAGATGGCATGAATCCGAACAGCACAATGCAATGCAGGCATAGTCAAGATTTTGATATATGTATGCCCTTTATCCAAACTTACGCGAGATTGATCGCTAGGCCTACGAAACTGAAGGTCTGGTTGATGCCTATTGCCTATATGAACCCTCAATACAGAGCTACTTGACACTACTAGCTATCACTCGTTCCAAAAGCAAGTTATGATACAGCTAAACGTTAAGCAGGCAGTGAGTTGCTTCAAGATATCTAATTTTGCAGTACTAGCAATCATCACCATATGCTTAAACCGCACTTCTGAAATGCCTATTGTTGCATTGCCCTACGCAGTGCTAGTAGGGCAGTATACTATTTGCATCTACACAAATTCATTCCAGTGGATGACTAAACAGCGAAAGCGATGAATCCCCAATGCACAATTACAAAATCATCAAAGAACTTGGGAACCCCTTATTAGCTAATTAACCAGCGTCCAAACTCATAGAGGGGAATGAATTTTCTACCTGAGACTTCACTAATTCAGTCTGGAACTTGGACAGGTTTGATTGCAGTTCTTCCTGGAACTTCAAGAGGTCAGCAGAGCCAACCGGAGAGCTCTGTACTTCCGGGAAAAAAACATTGTTAGAGCTCCGTACTCCAGGATGTAAACCAAAATCAGGACTAATCTACATTCTAGCTCTCTTTCACTTTGCACTACCAGATCGACTGCAAATCATAGGAAGAAAGAAAGAAAGAAAGAAAGAAAGAACGGAGGGGAATGCAAAGAGGAGCGAGTTACCTTCGCCGATGCATAATCAGAAAATGCACGCTTCGCGTTCGCGCCGCTTGGTCCGGCGAGGTCAGAGAGAAGCCTGCTGCGGCTGCGATGGGCCAACTGGTTCGCGAGGGGGGATGATAAACTCCTTGAAGAAGAAGGATCGAGCAGGAGACGACGCGATTTGACAAGCTGAGCTCCATGTTGAACGACGCGCTTCCATTGAGCCATTGATGAGATCCGTCTTCAATCGCGCTGGAACTCGAGGACGAAGATGGCGGCGGTGATTGGAAGAAAATCGTGGGAGAGTGACGGCCAACGCAACTGCTCCGCTCGCCGGTTTTATCCAATTTCAGAGAGGTTTTGATGCGGTTTTAGGTAGCTTGCTCTGCAAGATCGAAAAACTTGTAATTCCAAGTTTACCCCTCTCCTTCTCTCTTTCTCTCTCCGTTCTTTTTCCTACGTAATGGGCCTTCTCATGGTTGTTCATCAAGCCTTCTTTTCTAATATACTGGGCCTCTCAAGATGTCCAACGGGCCCATCCTCGAGGCCGTTTAGTCTGAACGTTTCGGTTAAATCCGGCGGATTTTCATTAAACGAGGTATCAATCCAGCCGTGAGATGCATCCAATGGTGTCAAATCCACGAGGCTTCTGTTACGTGGTTTGCACTCGGAACACTGGATAAATGCTGGATGGCTAAACATCACCCTACTTAAAATACAATACAATATTACTAAATTGTCCTTTTCCCTTGCACTCTACCGTCGTTCCTTCTCCCTGCTTCTTTCGTTTCATCTTTCTTATTGTGATTACTAATTTGTAGTAATTATCGTGGTTATTAAGGGTAAATTGTGTATGGAAAAATAAATTATATTAATTATTTTTTAATAAATTATATTTTAGGTAGTTACAAAAATCTATTAATTACAATTCTTTCACTTTCTCTCACTTCCGTAATCTTCAACCAGATCTCCTTTTCATATTTTTCTCAATCTTTCTGCAAAAGAAAAAACACGAAATCACTACCAATCCATTAGACAACCATTACCACTTTGAAAAACATCAATCGGGTGTGGTCACTTCCAAAATTACCCTAAATGAATCTTGACCGTAAGATTAAAAAAGAAGGAAAAATAGGAAATCAAATGGTTTATAAAAAGGTTGCCACCGTGATTACTAAAAAACAAGTAACTACTCTAACCCATTCCCTTTCTTATTTACTCTCACCTTCTCGTTACAAGGTACAACATAGAACCTTAACAAGGATTGTCAAATTGTCAACCCCTCCATATAAAATAAACATAAAGCTCTCCATATAAAAGACAACTGAACAACAAAACCTCCATTAATTGCAGAGAGAACTGTAATCCAGCCTTAGCCCGACGAATTCCATCCTATAACGCCACTAATTTGGTAAATCTGAAGATAAACAATCAGAAATTATATAAAAAAAAAAGATAAACAACCAGAAACCCGCAACTTGTCCAGCAACGACCGGTAATGGGCAAGAGAAGGAATCAGCATGCACTATAGATGATGAGACCGTTCTGCTATAGGTGTAGAAAATTAGGGTTAGGGCGATTAAAAAGGAAAAAAGGGTAAAGAGGTAATTTGACACTTAAAATAAGACAATTAAAGTAAAAGTTAAGGTGACAATTAGTAATCCCCGATAAATGTGCCCACCATCGGTATAATAGATGACACGACCTATCATCGGTCGATACAGATGACACCGTTCGATGTTACCTTGGGATGAGTTGTGGTATAACACGACCTACCATCGGTGATACAAATGACACCGTTCGAGGCTCTGTATGGGCGAACGCCGCCGACCCTAGTGCGCTACCAGTTGGGCACGAGTTCGGTGGACGTCGTAGATCGTTGGCTCGCACCAAGAGATGTGGTATTGGAGCAGTTGAAAGCCAACTTGGCAGCAGCCATTAACAGAATGAATCAGGAGGCTGATCCTGGGCAGCGGGTTGAGGAGTTCGCGATGGGCGATTGGGTTATGCTCCGACTACATCCCTGTAGACAGTCATCTTGTGTTTAAGAGAGCCTACCAGAAGTTGGCAGCGCGCTATTTTGGGTCCTACCATGTGCTCGTGAGAGTGGGATCTGTGGCGTATCGCCTACACCTTCCGGATACTGCATGTATCCACCCGACCTTCCATGTCTCCTTGTTACGCAGGTACCAGAGGAGCTATAGACCGAGAATTCGCCGGAGCCGCTGGTCAACGAGGATGGAGGCCTAGAGCTCGAGCCGACGCAGGTGCTCGAGACGCGTTGGGAACGACAAGGGAAGAGGCTAGTCGAGCCGAGCTTAATCCTGTGGCAGCATTTGGGGCCGGAGGAGGCTACATGGAAAGATACAGAGATCATTCGACAGAACTGCCCGATGTTCGACCTTGAGGGCAAGGTCGATCTTTAGAGGGGGAGATTGTAGGAAACACGTTCGGTCGTGTTCATAGAGTGGAGGCTCGACCCTATTATGTAACTGAGTGGAGTTTTGTTATTTTGTCAACTCCTATTTAAAGGAGAACTCTCAATTATTCCAAGATTTAGGAGAAAATACATTGAAACCCTAAATCCCTATCTCTTATTCTTCTCTCAAATTCTCCCAAAGTTCTTGCCTAATTCTACTCAATTTCCAATCCCTAATCATAATTTCCTCTCTCTATCGAAATCATACTTCCTTCATACATCTATTTATATTTGTGAAAACTGTAAGGGCACTTTTTTAACAATATCCAAAAGTTAATTAATAATTAATTAAATTAATTAAACTGTAAAAAAAAACTAAACTCTTATAATTTTCTTATCCCATTAATGTGGTATTACAACTCTATTGACTAACTCTAACAAGAATAATTAAACACGTACGCAAGTAAGGGCATACAATTAAACTCATGAGTATAAAAACTAGTATACATTTGGATCGGACCAAACCATTATATTATCGTCATTAATACGATCCAAATCCTACCATCCAATTTAGTGTACGATTTTTCTTATGGTACTGGTGCTGAATATTTTATTTATTTATCACAATCCACAAAATAAAAGATTATGATTGTATTAACCTAAAAATCACTCTCATACATTAGTAACTCATCCATCATCTCAATAACCCATTCCACTCCACCTCAACGAACATAAGTTTGGTTATTAAATCCTATTGCAACAAATTTCACTATTATTTTCACACAAAATGAAAATTTTGCCTATTAAACCTTTATTAACCATTTCATAAATCATGATCCAATATATCATCTCATAATAATTAAATAAAGGTTATCAAAATTTAGGAAAATAAAATTGAGAAAACTTTGAAATAGCACAATTCAATTTTTATGCGAGATAACTGTAGTACACTTAAGGTGATAACGGTATTCAACATGTTTAGAGTTAGACTAACGATAAACTAACACATTTTCAAAGAATTTAAAAAAAAATTTCAGCCAACAACTTTCACAATTTGCTCGAAACTTTACTAACTACTATTGATACATTGTATCCAGCATTTGCAAATCATTCATACAGACTCATGAAAGCTATTTAGTTATCAAAGATGATCTGATAGAATACTACTGAAACTTATCAACAGCACGACCAGGCTAAGAGCATCTAAGCAGGTTAACAAAAAAAGGGCATACAACAAAATCCACAGGGATAAACATCTAGTTCCCATTCGATTCCTTCATCTATTCGTTGTCTTAGTAGCTAGGGTTGGAAAACGGTGTGGTCTTGTCCAGATCATATTATATATATGGTCTACGGTCCAGACCAAGAGGCTGGAGTATAGATTGGAGACCAGACCACATACTACACTGTCCATATCAAACCACATCTGTGCGATCTGGTATGGTACGATAGACCATATTGAATGAAAAATGAACAATTTATTTAATCAATCATACCAAAATTTGAACCAAATCGAGAAAACAATTATATTTTGCCTTAGAACATAAATTCCAACATGAATGAATAATTTTGACAACCTAAATTTCAGTTATCACAAAGATTCAAAATCAAATCATCCCAACTTGCATCATAACGTCACATGTCATAAATCATAACATTAATAGAATGTCATATGGAGACATGATCCTCCCTATTCTCCGATAGAATGTGGTTGTGAATGAAAGAAAGATAATATTATCAAAATTGAGGTTGAGACTTAGATCTTGTTGGGGAGTTGAGAAAGTTTTCGAGTGGGCTGCTAATATATATTGAGAAGTCTGTTGGGTCCACGGTTTGAGCCGGTAAACTGCGATCTAGATCAGACCAAACCGAAAGATCTAAACATCATATAATACAGATCATGGATTAGACTATTCTTACAAGTCTACACCGGTCTGATCTATTTTCCTGTTCTCAAGGGAACGGGAGACAGTGACTCCGGCCCATAATAAATACCCTATGGTGGCTACGAACCATCTTACACCCGACACATCATCGCGAATTTTGTTTATATCAGCTTGCATCCTTGCCAAGTCAACTTCCATCGTGGTAAAACGGCTTTCCTGCAAACAAAACATGCAAGCGAATCACCCTCCAAAAGAGAGAAAGAGAAAAACCTTGAAGAACTACTAACAATTCTGAAGTTATCCTTCTTCTTCACGACTAAATTAAATCAGATGTCAGAATTGAGCTTAGCACATAATAATCTATGGAACATGGGCCGGAGCCCCCTTATTACCTAATTTAACCAACATTAAATTCCAAGGGGGAAAGGAAGGTTTTACCTGAGACTTGATTATTTCGGACTGGAAATTGGACAGGTTTGATTGCAGTTCTTCCTGGAACTTCAACAGGTCGGCAGATCCTATCTGAGAGCTCTGTACTTCCAGAAGAAAGAAGAAAAAAAAAAAAGATTATTAGAGCTCCGTACTTCAGGATCTACCCCAAAAGAAAGAAAGGAAGAGCGGAGGGGAAGTTACCTTCGCCGATGCATAATCAGAAAATGCACGGTTCGCATTCGCACCACTTGGTCCGGCGAGGTCAGATAGAATTCTGCTGCGAGTGCGATGGTCCAACTGATTCACGAGGGATGATGGTGATCTCATTGAAGAGGAAGAAGGATGGAGCAGGAGACGACGCGATTTGACAAGCTGAGCTCCATGTTGAACGACGCGCTTCCATTGAACCATTGATGAAATCCCGTCTTTCAATCGCGCTGGAACTCGAGGACGACGGCGGGGGCGATTAGGAGAAAAATCGTGTGGGAGAGTCCGATACTCTACAGGTTCACATATATATATTTCCCTCTAACCCTAGCTCACGTATGTACCTGCTAGGGCTAGTGTTCTCCTGCTAACTCTTCTACGTACAAAATGGAATAACAATGGGCCAAACAAAATCATACAAGCCCGCCAGTACAGCCCAAAAACTCTAGCCCGCTAACAAGAGTGACGGCCAACGCAACTGCTCCGCTCGCTGGTTTTATCCAGTTTCAGAGAGGTTTTGGTGCGGTTTTAGGTTATTAGGTAGCTTGCTTTGCAAGATCGAAAGACTTGTCATTCCAAGTTTACCTCTCTATTTCTCTCTCCGTTGTTTTTTTCCTGCGTAATGGGCCTACTCAAGGTTGTTCATCGAGCCTTCTTCTGTAACAGGCTGGACTAGAGCTGGAAAACGGTGCGGTTTGGTCCAGACCAGACCATATATACGGTCCATGGTCCAGACCGAGAGGCTGAAGTATAGACCGCAGACCAGACCACAGACTATACGGTCTGGTCCAGACCACGCCTGTACGGTCTGGTTTGGTCTGGTCTAGTCCAGATAGACCACACTCAAAGAAAAATGAATAATTTGTTTAGTCAACCACATAAAAAAATTGAACCAATAACCAAGAAAAATAATTGTTATTTGCCTTAAAACATTAGTCCTAACATGCATGAATAATTTTGATATCCTAAATCTTAGAAATAACAAAAATACAAAGTAAAAGCATACAAACTTGCACCCTAACTTTATAAACATTAACATAATGTCATATGGAGACACAATTATCTCTACTCTCTGGTTAAATGTGGTTGTGAACGAAGGAGGGACGAGATTCTCAAAATTAAGGTTGAGATTTGGGTGTCGTTGTGTGAGTTGGGAGTGTGATCGAATGGGCTATTAACACGTATTGACAAGTCGGTTGGGTCCACGGTTTGGTCCGGTAAACCGCGGTCTAGACCAGACCAGACCAAGAGATCAAAACATAAAACAAACCAGACCATGAACCATACCAGACCATACTTAACGGTCTACGATCCAAACCAAAACTGTACGGTACGGTTTGGACCACGATTTTTCTGACGGTCTGGTGTATTTTCCCAGCCCTAGGCTGGGCCTACTCTAAGATGTCCAACGAGCCCATCCTCGTGGGTCGTGCTCGTGGCCGTTTAATCTGAACGTTTCGGTTTAATCCGGCGGCGTTTCATTAAACAAGGTATCTAATCCAGACCGTGAGATGCATCCAACGGTGTCATATCCATGAGGATTCTGTTACGTGGCTTGCACTCTGAAACACTGGATAAATGTGCCCACCAGTGATTTCTGGTATTTGATTTGAAGCATTCTTCTCCGGCTAACTTCTCACTAGGGCTTTTGAGAGAGAAACCTTCCGATTCCAAAGGCTCATCCATCGCAGGTCTTCATTCCGGCGAGCGAGCAGATCGAATCGCAACTCCAATGGCACCACCTCCTCCGGGACCTTACTCCGGCGGCAGCACTCTTGCCCTGGTAAGCGTTTTGTTTCCACTTCGCTCAATTCGTGTCCCACCCCATCATTCGCTTTGTTTGGTCGCCGAGAGAAACACGAGATGGAAAACCGAAGTAATTGCGATGAGGAAATCTGAGTTCGAATCTGATCTTGTAATTAATGGATAGCTTAGCTTCCTGGATTGTTGAAATCAGCTCTGATTTGGTGTCTGGGTTTTTTTTTTCTTTCCTTCTTTCTTTCAATATGATAGGTTGCTCGCGTATCTGCGTTCTCTGTGGGTCTCGTCTATGGCAGCTTGAAGCTCAAGTATCTCAAGGTACATTTCCCCTGGTTTTGTTGCTCTTCCTCAATCGGACCTCCATGAGTTGGATCTCCTAGCCAAATTGCTAGTTTTGCATCCGGCATTCCTATGGTGTTTTTTTGCCAGGCTAGTAGAATGAGAATACTGGGTTCACTATGGAATGTGGTTTTCACACTCTTGGCTCACAGCCTGCATCTTTATATACGATAGTTTGAGTCTTGCAGCCATTCCTAAGTTTTGTGGTTAGGAATAGCGCCCTGTTGTGGGAGAGAATTATCTTAAACGGAGTTGGTCTATCTGCTCTTTTAGATCTCCTCTGTTCATTGGCTATATGAAGTTTGTCTGTCGCTGCTCCAATGCGTTGATAACGTTTTAATCTAGAAGAGGACCAAAACCAGAGGGGTTTGAGGTAGAATTTGGTAATGCTATATCCTAATATTGGGAAGTTTTAGCTCTGCACATTTGTCCCGGGTCAATTTTTGCATTTGAGCTTGTAGTTGGAGTTTGAGGACTAGAGAGGGGAAGCTTTTGTTTCATTGTGGTCATTGAGATGAATAACAGGAGTTGTAAGTGCAATGGATTAGTGAAGTTGTGGCTTCTTGTTCTCGTTGCTTCTTGCATTTTTGTCTGTGTTTGATGAATTTAATTGCGTATAATGGATTCTTCTGCTCTTTTCATTTGAATCGACAGGCACAGGTTAAATCACAGAAGAAAGCTGAAGCAAAGGCAGCTGCTGCTGCTGCTAAGAAACACTGATTGAGAGAGGGAAAGGAAGATGCTGCTCTTCCTAAGGATGTTTTCGTGTTTAGGACTCGAGTTTACAGTAGGAAATAATCCATGTTGACAATACCATTTACCTGTCTTTCAATCCGGTGTTAAAATGCCCTTTTCCAGAACATGGCGATTTGTAGGCTGCCACTAATGGAGTTGTCTACACTATATTTTTCTCTAGTTTACCGAGTATTGGATTGATTTTCACTTGATTGTTGCTTAATGGTACGGTTCATCTCCTGTTTATTGCTCACTACACCTTACGACGACCAAAGCATGCGCCTGCTGGAACCATTCCTTTCGTCTAATCAATCTTGAATCAAATCGTTGATCTGTTATTCGTTTGATCTGCTAAGTTTCACATATCAATGGACGTTACACACACTAATTCGTAAACAGACCTTACGAACATTTACATTAGACAAATGAAATGTAAATTGCATCAAATCAGTTTTCAAAAAGGGGAAATTTACATCAATACAGAGTGTTCCCACCTATTGAGTTGGAAGGGAACGTAACAATATATATACCAGAGAACTAGAGTAGCTCAATTTGACTTTGGCAAACTTCCTCAGCATGGCATGAGTCACTGAACATATGCTGGGCTCTAAAACAACCCTAGACAAGATCAGGGATATCCGGCTTCCCATTTCTCCGTAACCACCCGATGAATACAGACCGAGGAAGAAAACCATGTATATTCGGAAGGTAGAGGGCAGCTCAAGACATAACAGCTACAGGTATACATATGGAGGCGGAATAGGATTAGGTGTGTTTGAAAGATGTTGAGAGCAGTGAAAACCAGACAACAGGAGCTCTGTGGATTTCTACAAGCATTGCCAAAATGACAAGATCTGCTTCTACCCACTTCTAGTAATATGCCAATCCATGCCAAATGAAGCTGTTCTGGTAATCATCCAGCTCTGAATTGACATGAATGAGAAAGTATCAGACTCGTGCGGGAGCTCAGTGATTCAATCAAATACAATATTCAGATTTGATAACAAAAAGTGAGTTATGTCCTTTGTCCATAAGTGCATGCATCATCGGTTCTGAATTGACATGAATGAGAAAGTATCAGACTTGTGAGGGAGCTCAGTGATTCAATCAAATACAACATTCACATTTAAGAACTAAAAGTGAGTATATGTCCTTTGTCCATAAACGCATGCATCATCGGTAGCAGATTCGAGTGAAGTTACAATGACTGCTAGAAATAACCAGTGAAAACAGGTTTGATTGACAAGGAGAACTCACCTTAAACCCAGGAGGGCTGTTGCTAGAAGGGAGAGACCACTGGGAGGAGATAAACTGGCCCAAACCATTTAGTCTACATAAATAATTCCTTCTTCAGGATCATCACCCTCCCAATCTCCATCATCGTCATCACCAGACGACTCAGAACCATCTCCGTCCAAATTTCGGCCAGGACCCTTCTTGGCCTTTATCTTGTCCAGTATAGCAATCACCTGAAAGGAAACAAATTTTGCTTGATACACCAGTTCTCTAGATCCAAAATGATCGGAAAATATGAATATGGAGAAACTGTAAGTTGTTCTTACCCTGCTTCCCTTCTCCATAGCTTCATCTTCTATAAATCGAATCTCTGGAGTAAGACGCAACTTCATTCGTCTCCCCAACTCGCCCCTTACATATTTAGCCTTTGATTTCAACCCGGCAAGTGCAACCTCTTTCCCTCTATCGTCTCCAAAGACAGATACAAACACTTTAACCACCTATAAGAACAACAACCCCAACATATCCCTCAACACATCAAGCAGAAATTACACCAGAAAGAAAGTTAGGAAATCGTTTTTGATGTTTTTAAGCAAACCCTAATAAGCAAACATTCCTGCACCACCTAACGTATTCTTGTGATTCTGGTCATGGCTGATATAAGAGCCTTGATAAAAGGCAACAGAAATGTAGAATTGTATACAAGCAGAAAATGGCCTGAAGATGCTATGAGCTGGGTTCAGTACAGCAATAAACTTTACCTAACATCATCACCAGAAAACTCACACTTTTCCTCATTACTCTAAAGAATCCCCACAATTCTACGTTTCAGCAGTATTGAAGGGAAATTTCAAGCACTTCATGATTGCAACTCTAAAGTTCCATCCCAAGCTCGTAACATACACCCAGTCGACGAAAATCACCAGTCTATATAAACAAGCTATGTAGGTACCTGCAAGTCTCCGGAGACTTCGACGTCACTGATGGTGGTAAGCGAGGAAAGGTACCTATCAGCTCCCAAGGCAGCCTCAGGGAGAATCGCGTACTGCAAGACCTTATCCGTCAAAAGCATGTCGGAAAGCTCTCTCTGAATCTGCTTCGCCACCATCCTCACTCTCCTCGGATTCGCCATGCACCTCACTGTTCCAACTCCGATCAACGGCTGCGTCCGCCGAAGCGTCGGATTTACAGTTCTAATTGGTAGCGAGCCGGTGGAGGAGCTGGGAGAGCAGAAGACGAGCGGAATCTGCGGGCGAAGATGGAGATGGTGGAATTGTGAGTGGAGCATTGCAGCAAGTAGATAATCAGAGCTCCGTCGCCGGCGTTTGCTCCGTTAATTTCCTTCTCGGCGAAGTTCTGCTAGTTAGATTGCTTCTGCAGTTTCGTGTTTTCGAGAGGATCCTCTTTCGGTCCTCCCTCGAATATCTAAGGGCGTTTTCGCCATTTTACAAAATGGATAACGGAGCGAGAAAGTGGGAACTGGAAGCGGCGTCGTTTCGTTCTGTTGGGTTTAGGCCCACCTCGTGACATTCGACGTTCAAGGCCCAACCCAAGAAAAATGTTCTCTCCTCTATCATGCCTTTGCTTCTAGTCTGTAGGGAAAAGCTCTGTACTCGGTAACAAACTACCAGTGATACATTAGAGTTGAGACAGGTATCGTACCAACGTATTACACTAGTTAAATGACGTATCAGTGATCAGATCGATATACAATAAGATCATAACTGGGAGCTGCACCATGTAATAATCGTCTCCGGGCAAAACACGACCTACTGGGAGAGCTAGAGAATGATCCATTGTCGTGGAGAAAGAAGACCAGACAACGCATTTCTCTTACTCGAGTTTCATGTCTCGTCGTCACTGTTGGATAGCAAACAATCCTGAACTTGCTCCCTGCAAGGGTACAGTGCTTCTTCAGTATTTGCTCAGTTCGACTCTCTGCCGGTATGAGAAAGAAAGAAAAAGAGGGCTAAAAGAAAGCATCAGTTCAGTAATCTATGAATCACACCTTAGCATATCCAGGTTGTCGTTGTCTTTGTGCTTAGACCGGGAAACTAGTCCTTCTGGTAAAAGTGAGTAGAATTCTTTCATTGACGACTGATCCTGAGGCAGTATCTGAAACTGACAGCTCGGACAGCAGCTTGCAGCAAATTCTCTGAACTTGAAAGGCTTCAGGCTGCCACAACTTGGCAAGTCAGAATTAATAACTGGGCTATTGCATATAGGACAGAAAGATTCCGAGGAGATGGATTCCTGTGGTTTGAGATTGTATCTCTTCTGCCTCCTTAGGGTTGCCAAAGGAACACTAGAATCATTGATCTCGGGCAGTCTATTGAAATGAAATGGAGTAAGCTTTCCAGCTGTCCGGACAATGGTGCTCTCTCGAGAAGGATTTTCCTCCTGGAATTAAGAACTAGTTGGTAGCAGTCCAGGTAAAATTGAAATTGACAGCATGACAATAACTACAGTTTTCTCAAGTTTCAGGATTGTGAAAGCTACAGAATGATTACCTGCAACAGGCGTACAAATGAAGAAATCAAACCATTGATGCCCGAGGGGTGATCATTAACCAATTGCAAAGTCTTTAGACTGCCCTGCCAATACAAGTAAAAATCCCATCATGAGTAATTTAAGATGGGCTAAATCTTTCTTTTATCTTTCTTACGCATTGATTGAGACAGTAAATATTATGAGAAGGGAAAACGTCTGGTCACAAACCCATCAATACGGCACAGAATGTTAAGCTCCTGTGCGGTACAGTCGCGAAGTGGAAGAACTATGGGAACTTGCCATCTTGCATCGACATATTGTATATCTGCTGACAGAGAATACCCTTGACCCTGCAAGTATCTATCGTATTAGGACACTGAATGTGTCTTTCATCATGGACGTGAGACATTATACTCAATTCAATTCTATGACTAAGAGCTGAAAAAGGAGTCATGCACTGATGATTTCCCTTTTATTTCCTTCTACCGTGGGGGGATGGCTTCCATAGGGAATTTTGACTCATTTCCACAAACATTTACTACTTGAGTAGCTGTACTATGATATATTTAACCAAAATGACCTTGCACCTTAGCTCCTTGAAGTCATTGTATCCAACCATTTAACTAATAACATATAAAGATGACAAACTTCTCAAATTGAAGCCTTATAGTAGTTACACTCTCACACTAGAAATACTATAGTTACATCAACAACCTAGACAGTATACTAATCATTCTATCATGATTGAAAGCTGCACTAGAGAACCAATTTCTGATATTGAACGAAGCAGGCAGCAGAGAAAGATATTCCATACATATAACTTCCATTTGAAGAATCCATTGTATAAGCACCTAAACCCGTAGTTTATTGATCATCATATCACAATCATATACTACTTAATATCGGAAAGATTTGGTAGGCAGACCTTCACGGTTGCAGCAATGACATGGCAAGCAATCTTTGACGTACACAGACCCAGTACAAGCTTTGTGTATCCATTTTCAGAAGCAACCTGCAGAAACAGAAGAATTCCAATTTCGAGTCATTTTTACTTTTTCCCCTTCATACATACAGAATGGAAAACGTTGCACACAAAGGGACGAACTTTCTGCAATGCCCACATCCTCAAGTGCATAAGAAAGTCATCTTTTCCAGTAACATCATCAACAGCACCTATTAACTTCATCAATCTGTCTTTCTCGTCACTCGAACCTGAGGAATACAGGCTCACTGATGGAACAACATGAAACTGCTTTACTGGTGGAGCTAATTCTAACACCGTAGATTTCATCTCCTGAATTGCTTCTTCAACTTCATCATTAGAAATTGAACATACAGTACTTTCATCAACAAATGCCACTCCAACGCCAAAGACTGGCAACGACCTGTCTTTACTAGCTTCGTAGTTTCTCTGCGCTCTCTGCTGCATATCATGCACAAACTGCAGAGCTACCCTGAACAAACAACACATCGTTTCAGATGCTAAACTCGAGCAACTGCACTATACCCTCATTGGGAGAACAACAAAATGGACAATAATTGAAGTAAAGCAACAATCTTTAGTAATATAGTCTTTATTAGCTCACAGTGTTTTCCCAACAGGATCCATGTTTCATCTTGATAATCATTCACGCTCCTCTACAGAGAGTCAGAATCCAGGCTCAGCTTAGGACGTATCTCTTCTTACATTATCTAATATCACTTGCTAGTTGCTAGTGCTTCTAATTTGAAGTTAAGCAACATCTAAAAATGTTTCCTTTACGATCGTTTCATAGAGCAATTACTACTCAATAAGCAAACGCAGAGACGGCGTGAAAGAGACCTGGAAGCAACGCCGCCGGAGAAAGCAACGAGCACGTTATCTGAAGGGGTGATCATGGCGTGGGAAGTAACGGCAAGCCGGAACTTGCCGAACAAATTAGTCCTGAAACAGTCTCCACAGAACCGGGCCTCGTCGCCGCTACCGCCACCGCCGCTGGAAATTGGTGGGCTGACCTTGCACTTCAGACACACGCCCTGCTGCTGTTGGTTGTTGGCGCCATCGTCGCTGCCGGTGGTGGGAGCCGGAATCGAGTCATCCTGAGCTACTTGTTCGTTCTGGGAACAATTGGATTGGCAGTTGCCGGAATTGCAAGCCATGGCAATCGAGTCCCTGACTCGCAAGATGGGAAAATTTTCAGTTGTTCTGTTAAGGCGGGTGCTAGGGTTTCAGTGTGTTCAGCTGTTGACTTCTCCCCGAGAGCTAGGATTCAGATCTCAGGAACGGGACGGGCCAGTTTTGGGCGGGTTCCAAACGAACAAAACTGAAGGGTAATGTACCAATTGGCAAATAGGCCTCTCTACTTTGTAGCAACTAACAAATACATCCTTTAACTTCTATTCTTAACCAAAATTGCCCCATGCATAATAATATTTAATAAATGCACTCCTCTATAATTTTTAATCAATAGGCATTAATTGCGTCAAACATTTTCTATGAAAAACGGGTTATGATAGTTTTTTTTTATCGATTTAAAGTCCAGATAATGATACTTAATAAGTTGTGGCAAATATTTCGAATGTTGTAGAGGGTTGGAGATTATTGACCAGCACCTCCACATCTACTGGTAGTGGCAATGTAAGTTACTTTGTTTCTTCATATCATTGCATTCCTACCTTTCCAGATCCGATTAGGGATAGGGGGATTAGGCTGGCGAAAAGGAGGGGGTCCTCATGTAAATATCTTAAGGTGGCTCCGAAAATGTATTCTCGTATGTAAAGGCTCCCACCAATAACAATCATAGAATTCCTGTTTTGCAGGATATGCCATGTCGAAGTATGACTAACACATGAAACATAGTGTCAACCAGAGAAGCAATCATAAGTGAAGATCACCCCAAGATGTAGACGTGTGTCACATTTAGCACAGACGAATCATATAATATGGGTTGAATGCTCGTTGAGATGGTACACATTGGTTCCAAGAGCTCAAAAGGGCCTTCAGAATCACGTCCGTGAGATGGTACACATTGGTCGCATTTTTTATATGCCCGAATCTTTCTCCCTAACCATCTCATTATTAGTAGTATTGTCTGTCTAGAATATTTCAACTTATTGACATGCCCAACTCAAATGTTAGATACTGAATGTTGTATTATATGATACCATTAAGAAATACCCCATTTCATTTCAATGTGTTATTTTTATGAAGAAGAAAAAAAACAAGATAGGCAAATTATATGAACTATTATCACTAGGCATTGAGTCGCCTATGGCATTCCACGTTTGTATCTTTCCTTTTTCTGGCCTCAATAGATTCCACACACTCAGTCACAAGTCACAATACAAAGAAGCGACAAGCAAAATATCAAGTGGGCTTCAAACGAGGGACAACAAAACTCACCTCTCCGCCACACTCCAAAACTTGAAAGAAAGCTAAACAACAAAGGATCGATCTTTTACAAGGCCCTTAAAAAGTTTCACAAGCTGACAATGATGCTTTCAACCAGAAATGAAAAATCTCTGCTTTCTCTCTCTCTCTCTCTCTCTCTCTCTCCTCCAACTCAGCATCATCCCCATTCCCAGATTTCCACCTCACCCCTGAAAAAGTGGAAATCGGAAATCCAACTCGCCCAATCAGAATCCAGCAAACTCCATCGCCATAACCACAGTAGATAGATTACACTCTCAATCTCACTACACATTTCCCTCTCTACAGTATTTCCCAAACCGAAGCAGGACCTCAGAATCAGAAAACCAGAGTCCAGCTCCCAAAATCATAAGCCCCTCACTACCCATTTCGCCACGTGTCCCTCCATTCCACCACTAACCATATTAACCACCACCTCGCCTTCTTCACTTCTCCACAGCTCTCCTCCCCTTCTGCTGATTTCAGTAGCAGAGTTATAAAGACACGACCTTTAACTTCTTCGAGAAAAGAAGGAGAAGAAGGGTTCGTTCACTGAACCAGAAACATTACATTTTCCTTTCTTTTCCTTCTCTTCATTCTCCCTCTGACCTCTCTCTAATTTTGTAACAGAGGAGGGGAAAACAACAGAGAGGAGTTTTGTATCTCTCTGTCTATCTGTGCTGCCACAACAATGGCTTCCTTGCTATCTTCTTCCTTCATCACCCCATCAGCAAAATCAGACCAGCTTTCACAAAAGCACTACTTTCTCCACTCCTTCCTCCCCAAGAAAACAAACCCATCATCCACTTCCAAGTCCGCGCTGAAATTCAAGTGTTCCGCCATCGGGAACGGCCTGTTCACGCAGACAACGCAAGAAGTTCGACGAATTGTCCCAGAGAAGAACTCCAACCTCCCCACAGTCAAGATCGTCTACGTGGTGCTGGAAGCTCAGTACCAATCATCTTTGTCTGCCGCAGTCCAGTCTCTAAACAGGGACCCCAGCAAGTTCGCGTCTTTTGAAGTGGTTGGCTACTTGGTCGAGGAGCTTCGTGACGCTGCCAACTATGAATCCTTCTGCAAGGACCTCGAGGATGCCAACATCTTCATCGGTTCGCTGATCTTCGTCGAGGAGCTCGCCCTGAAGGTGAAATCTGCCGTGGAGAAAGAGAGGGAGAGAATGGACGCTGTACTGGTCTTCCCATCCATGCCTGAGGTGATGAGGCTCAACAAATTGGGATCCTTCAGCATGTCCCAGCTCGGCCAATCGAAGAGCCCCTTCTTCCAGTTGTTCAAGAGGAAGAAGCAAGGCGCTGGATTTGCTGACAGTATGTTGAAATTGGTAAGGACTTTGCCGAAAGTGTTGAAGTACTTGCCTAGCGACAAAGCTCAGGATGCGAGGTTGTACATATTGAGCCTCCAGTTCTGGCTCGGAGGGTCTCCTGATAACCTGCAGAACTTCGTGAAGATGATTTCTGGATCTTACGTTCCGGCATTGAAGGGAACGAAGGTCGAGTATTCCGATCCGGTGTTGTTCCTCGACACTGGAATCTGGCACCCGTTGGCTCCTTGTATGTACGACGATGTGAAGGAGTACTTGAACTGGTATGATACAAGGAGGGACACGAATGAGAAGCTGAAGAGCGGTAATGCTCCGATAGTTGGGCTGGTTTTGCAGAGGAGTCACATCGTGACAGGGGATGAAGGTCACTATGTGGCTGTGATCATGGAAATGGAAGCCAGAGGTGCTAAAGTGATACCGATTTTCGCTGGGGGGCTCGATTTCTCAGGTCCTGTTGAGAAGTACTTCATCGATCCGGTCACAAAGAAGCCGATGGTGAACTCGGTTGTGTCATTGACAGGGTTCGCCCTCGTTGGTGGTCCTGCGAGGCAGGACCATCCTCGAGCTGTGGAGGCTCTGATGAAGCTCGATGTGCCTTATATGGTCGCTGTGCCTCTCGTGTTTCAGACCACCGAGGAGTGGTTGAACAGTACTTTGGGGCTGCATCCCATTCAGGTTGCCTTGCAAGTTGCTCTTCCCGAGCTTGATGGTGGCATGGAGCCTATCGTTTTCGCTGGCCGCGATCCCAGAACAGGTAATCCATTGGGGATTTTGTTGATCTTTGAATCCCTTTTTGTAGTTATGTCATTGTTGCTGAACCAAGAAAGTTTGGAATCTGTGTTTTTATCAGGAAAATCTCATGCTCTTCACAAGAGGGTGGAGCAATTGTGCATCCGGGCAATCCGATGGGGTGAACTCAAGAGGAAGTCAAAGGTATTATTCTGCTAATCCTGATAATGAAACCATGTCCTGTTCTGAGCAAAAAGGGATTAATTAGTACCATCAGATGGAATTCCATAAGCTAAAGACAACAGAAGCGATCAAATGAGTGGCTTAGGATATTATTCATATGGAACTTCCTGTCACTTTGCTATTGTTCTAGATTCTCTAGTACTTCAATTCAGAGTATAAATTGACAGATAGCTCTATAAAAGAATATAAAAAATTGCATTTAACTCCCCCGCTAATGGATGCAATGCTAATGCAGGCTGAGAAGAAGTTAGCAATTACAGTGTTCAGTTTCCCACCAGACAAGGGCAACGTAGGTACAGCAGCTTACCTCAATGTCTTCGCTTCAATCTTTTCGGTACTAAGCGACCTGAAGAAAGATGGTTACAACGTGGAGGGACTCCCCGAGACATCAGAAGCCCTGATCGAAGAGATCCTGCACGACAAGGAGGCGCAGTTCAGCAGCCCGAATCTCAACGTAGTCTACAAGATGGGAGTACGAGAGTACCAGGAGCTCACTCCTTATGCCACCGCACTAGAAGAGAACTGGGGCAAACCTCCAGGCAATCTCAACTCCGATGGAGAGAATCTGTTGGTCTATGGCAAGCAATATGGCAATGTGTTCATCGGCGTCCAGCCCACCTTCGGTTACGAAGGTGATCCCATGAGGTTGCTCTTCTCCAAATCCGCCAGTCCACACCATGGCTTCGCTGCTTACTACTCGTTCGTCGAGAAGGTCTTCAAAGCTGATGCGGTGCTCCACTTTGGTACCCATGGCTCACTTGAATTCATGCCCGGGAAGCAAGTGGGGATGAGTGATGCCTGTTTCCCAGACAGTCTCATTGGGAACATCCCCAATATATACTACTATGCAGCTAACAATCCGTCTGAAGCCACCATAGCGAAACGTCGGAGCTATGCTAACACCATCAGCTACTTGACTCCTCCGGCTGAGAATGCTGGTCTCTACAAGGGACTCAAGCAATTGGGCGAGCTCATTTCCTCGTACCAATCATTGAAAGACACCGGGCGCGGCCCCCAGATTGTGAGCACCATCATCAGCACGGCAAGGCAGTGCAATCTCGACAAGGATGTCGATCTGCCTGATGAAGCAGCAGAGATCTCAGCCAGTGAGAGGGACCTCGTGGTTGGCAAAGTGTACTCCAAGATCATGGAGATCGAGTCCCGCCTCTTGCCATGTGGGCTCCACGTTGTCGGTGAGCCACCATCTGCAATGGAAGCTGTTGCCACACTTGTCAACATTGCAGCCCTCGACCGCCCTGAAGAGGGGATCACTTCGCTCCCATCCATACTAGCCCAGACAGTTGGACGAGAGATGGAGGACGTGTACCGAGGGAGCGATAAGGGGATCTTGAAGGACGTGGAGCTTCTTCGCCAGATCACCGATACATCACGTGGCGCGGTGTCAGCATTCGTGGAGAGGACTACCAACAGCAAGGGCCAGGTGGTTGACGTGAGCAACAAGCTAACTTCGATGCTAGGCTTCGGGATCAACGAGCCATGGATTCAGTACCTGTCGAACACAAAGTTCTACCGCGCTGACAGGGAGAAGCTCCGCGTCGTGTTCCAGTTCTTGGGAGATTGCTTGAAGCTTGTGGTTGCTGATAATGAGCTTGGCAGTCTGAAACAAGCCTTGGAAGGCAAGTTTGTTGAGCCCGGGCCGGGTGGTGACCCGATCAGGAACCCGAAAGTGCTGCCCACGGGGAAGAACATTCACGCACTCGACCCGCAATCGATCCCCACCGAAGCAGCAATGCAGAGCGCCAAAGTCGTCGTCGAGAGGCTGATCGAGAGGCAGAAGATTGACAATGGCGGGAACTATCCAGAAACCGTTGCTCTTGTGCTGTGGGGGACTGACAACATCAAGACCTACGGGGAGTCACTCGGTCAGGTCCTCTGGATGATCGGAGTCAGACCGATTGCCGACACATTCGGTCGGGTCAACCGAGTCGAACCGGTCAGCCTCGAGGAGCTCGGAAGGCCCAGAATCGACGTCGTCGTCAACTGCTCCGGCGTCTTCCGCGACCTCTTCATCAACCAGATGAACCTCCTCGATCGGGCCGTGAAAATGGTCGCCGAGCTCGACGAGCCGGTAGAAATGAACTACGTGAGGAAGCACGCCCTCGAGCAGGCCGAAACCCTAGGGATCGACATTCGCGAGGCCGCCACTCGAATCTTCTCCAACGCCTCCGGCTCGTACTCTTCCAACATCAACCTCGCCGTCGAGAACTCGTCGTGGAACGACGAGAAGCAGCTTCAGGACATGTATCTGAGCAGGAAGTCCTTCGCGTTCGACTCCGACGCCCCCGGCGCCGGAATGATGGAGAAGAAGAAGGTGTTCGAGATGGCGCTCAGCACCGCCGACGCGACTTTCCAAAACCTAGATTCGTCGGAGATCTCGCTCACCGACGTCAGCCATTACTTCGATTCGGACCCCACGAATCTGGTGCAGAGCCTGAGGAAGGACAAGAAGAAGCCCAGCGCCTACATCGCCGATACGACGACGGCGAACGCGCAGGTGCGGACTCTGTCGGAGACGGTGAGATTGGACGCGAGGACCAAGCTGCTGAACCCTAAGTGGTACGAAGGGATGATGTCGAGTGGGTACGAAGGCGTTCGCGAGATCGAGAAGCGGCTGACGAACACCGTTGGATGGAGTGCGACTTCAGGGCAGGTGGATAACTGGGTTTATGAAGAAGCCAACACGACGTTTATACAGGATGAAGAGATGATGAAGAGGTTGATGGACATGAACCCGAATTCGTTCAGGAAATTGGTGCAGACGTTCTTGGAGGCCAATGGGCGTGGGTACTGGGAGACTTCTGAGGACAATATTGAGAAGTTGAGGCAGCTTTACAGTGAAGTGGAAGACAAGATTGAAGGTGTTGATCGGTAGATGAGGAAAGGTCTCGATCGAAGAATTGCAGCCATGAACGTTTAACTCTTTGTTGATCTGGTACATTACTATCGTTATTGTGCATTATCCCAGATGAGTTGAGTGCTGTGTTATCAAGTAGCTTCCCCGCCGGAACTTGTTGTAAAATTTGTTCATAAACATCTCTCGCAAGAGATTTGGCAAGTGACATTGTTGATATCTTGAGGAAGGAATGAACTTCAGTTAAACCTGCATAAATCTTTCTCTTCAAGCAAAGAGCTTCAGTTAAACCTGCATAAATCTTTCTCTTCACACAAAGATCTTCGCTTTAACAAGGAAAAGGGTACACAAAGGAAGGGCCTAAGCTTCACCAGAGCTCCATCAGTGAATGATTCAAACTGAAACAGGTGTGCTGTTTTCCACTGTTTCTTGGGCTTTAAGGCAATCTGTAGGATGTGTAGGGAGTTCCTAACAATGTAAAGAGAATGGTACAATGGGTAAATCTACAAACTGACTGACAAGTTTACAAAAATGGGAAACTGGGAACTCCCTACACCCTGCTGCACTAACAACAAGATCACAAGAAGGAACCAAAAATTGAATGATTGACAAAAGAATACTCGTATAACAGTTACAAGAGTAATAATACACTTCCCCTTTTTGGTATTTTCTTCTCTTACAACTTGTGGAGTTAATTTGTGAGTAATTGGGAGGTCTTCCTCGAAACCGTTTCTTCAGACTAGCTCCATCAGAAGAGGGTCACCTTCCGCCATTATTCTTACGAGCTTTATGAACTCTTGTTCGGACGATACACTCCATGGATGGACAGCTGGTGCTTGGGCAGAGTACAAAGTTGAATTGCTGGGTGGAGGCGTTTGCTTGTACACCATGGTGTTCAAGATCGGGTCGAAGTTCTGAGGCGAATCCACTGAGAGAAAGAACATTGGTATGGCAACCTTTTGATGCATCTCCATACCGTCCACTGGACCAACATCACGCACCAGAGAAACAAGATCTACGAAGTCAGAGACAAACTGTCGAGGAATGTAGAATATCTCGGAACTACAGAGCACCAGGCTATTTTCAGTCTTCACGGCTTCTTTGTAGTTGACTTGGAAGTGAGCTGGCATTGAATCAACCACTTTCTTCACCACTCCAGCTTGCTTAGTCAACCAATCCCCATCAGGAGCCACATTGCTCCAAGAATCCGATACCTGAATCCAAAGTATTTTCAATGAAAAGGAACAAAAAATCTAGGTCAGCAAAATTCCATATCTTCGCGGCTTCATATATATCAGTGGCATGGAAAAACAAAAAGGTACCTTGTCAGTGATCCATAGCTTAGTCTTGTCTGCTTGATGCAGATTCCAGTAATTAAGAATGGTATCATCCTGAAGGAACAGAAAACCTTCTGCACTGCTGAACCGGTTGAACAACTTGGGCAGAAGCCTACAATAAGTTGAGACAGTGGGAAATCATCAGGTCAAGAACAAGAAAAGGCTCTATGATACATACCAAACAGGGCAAAAGTTTAGAAGTTATGGTGATTGTTTGCCATGTAAGCAAAGACAAGTGAGAAGCTACTAATCAAACTTAGATTGCAAGGAACCATGATTGAGATTTGAGAAAAAACTAAACTGAAATTGTAACAGCAAACCACAAACATCCCAGTGAGCTAGGAAAGTAGGTAGGCAAAGTACAAGAAAAATGCCTGGACCTATATATCGTGTTCCTTATAACTTCAGAAATACCCAAAACATGACTCAGAACAACAGCAATATACTAAGTCATGTTACAAGTTATGTTATTGCTGCTGCAGTGCAATGAAATGATACATTTTCATGTGCTACTGTGTCCTACAACCCACAATGCTATTTCAGTACTCAGAACTATCTAAATAGAAGTACTACATCTAGCTTATTAGCCAAAATAACTGAGCTACATTCTCCCCTCCCTTTCCTATGCACCGCTTCGACAATGAAAATCTACCTTCCAATCCTACTTATACCGAGTATTTAGAGTTCAGATAGATTCAAAGATCCGGAGATACAACATTCCAATGGAATTATGCTTTTCTATTCAATTGACTAATTGTCTCAAATCTGTATAAGCCATCCTATGAAAAGATTGGACTAATTCCCCACCTATCAGCAAACTCATAACACCAATACTGTAATAATCCAAGCAATGATTAATCATACTGAATTTTGAACATTATGGCCTTTCCGCACCAACAAGAGCAATGAAGCTCATATGGGTCAGTAAATGAATCAGCACAACCAACAACCCTGTATATAAAGATAAAGCAGAATTTCAAACCATTACAAAGAAATTGACAGCATCACTTACTTGTACATCTGATCCAGATGCCCTTCCTCAACAGCAAGGTCCTCATTCTTCTGCTCCGACAAAATCACCACAGTTTTGAATATCCGTCCATAGAGCAATCTCCACTCTAAAGCGGTCCGCTCAACAGGTCCACTGCAGAACATAATCAGCACAACATTTCCAAAATTCTTTCTCCATCGAATCAGATTGCCAATCTCATAATTAACTGTTCCAGTTTCCTCAACCCCGAGATGGATCGATGGCAATTTACGAGGAATAAACTCCTTCCTATCTCCATGACCAATTGTAGGCCTCGGCCTATCCAATTCCAGTGACATTAGCCTAGGCTGCTGATAACCAACAGCAACTAAGTCTTGAAGCCAAGCAGCAGTAAACTTCACATCCTGCTCACTCCAAAATCCTTCCTCAGCCATTGCAAAGCTCAGATCCACAGCCTTCTCAAACAATCTGTGCTTGGTTGATCTCCAAGCAACCAAAAATTTAATCAATCTTCCAACATTGACATGTAGATCCTTCTCCTCCGAGAAAGGGTAACCCGCAATCCTATCATCTCTATGCACAGTGGGAGGATAAACCACAACATACCCACCAATTTCCCACAACAGCCTTTGGGACCAATAACCTCTCAAGATATCAGCTGCCATTGTACTTACTGACACAGGGAGCATCAACCCCCAAAATGCAGGTGAATGGTAAATCGTGTTGAATGAATTTACAGGCACCATGATCCCCTGAGGCAATGCTACTTTGGGGGCATGGTCATCGAACTTAATGTCGAAGGATTCCAAACCAGCTTTCCTGGTGAAATAGAACACTGAATCAACATCAGGCAATCCATTGGATACACCTTGCTGGATAAACTGTTTCCCTCCGAAGACCTCGGTGTAGAACTCTTCATGCCCAATTTCTCCCACATTCTCCAATGGCAATCCTCTAGGCCAAACCGATCTCTGTCCGAAATGGATGTATGGATTCACGATAGACCTATTCACATTCTCATGACTGTACTGCAAAATGGGTTCATGCCTAGCTCCTTCCCCAGCTAAATCTACATCAAAATGTTTCCCTAGATCACCTCCTATGACTTCCCCACGATCATCGGCATCAAAGATCTTCTTGGCACCATGTTGAATGGCGAACAAATACCCAACACTCTTCCTCACATAAGAACGAAAGGGCAAGTAATCAACAACCCTAAAACCCAGAGTAGCTTGCTGCTCTAAGGACAGGAATACAGCACCTTTCAAGGACCAGTCAGATGGAGTCGAGGAATCGCCAACAGCAAGCACCTGCCATCCCTTGATCTTGACGAGTTGCTTGAGCGAATCCGAAGGGTAATCGGAGACGGAGACCACGATCCACTTCTCGGTGCGGAAATTGGCGTAAGGAGTGGAAGTATCTCTCAAGGTAGGCACGTTGTTCCAGTCGATGTGAGGACGGTGGAGGGTTTTGTCGATGGGGTGGGATTTTGATTGGAGGTAGAGGAAAGCTGAGGTGTCGCCGGCATTGCGGAGGAAGAAGAGGGCAGCGACCGTGGCCACGAGGAAGGCGATTGTGACGATCTTGTAGAGATTGTCGGAGAACCAAGTGCAGAAGTCGAGCGATTTGGCTGGAGAGAATCGGCGGCCGGAAATTGGGTGGTGAAAGACGGTGGTGGGCAGCTTCGATTTCGAGTTGGATTTGGGCGATTTGGGCGGAGGCGGCGACGTCGGTAAACGGTCCTGGACCAACATTGCTTCAGCTCAGCTGCTGACTGCGGCCGGCGCTGAATCTCCCCCCTTCCCCCTCCACCTCCTCCTCCTCCGATTCCAACCAAATTATGGATTGATGCAAAAGAGTAAAGACAGTATCGAGTGAGAGGGAGAGAGAGAGAGCTTGGATTGACTTGGGAAGTTGGGAAGGAAGCTGAAAATAGCAGTTTCCTCCTTCTCTCTCTCTAGATTTGATTCGCCCGGTCACTGTCTCGCTCTCCCTCTCTCTCTATTTTTGTTTATTTTTATCTTTCTGGTGGGTTGTCAAAGCTCAAAGCAAAGCTTTGCTGGCCATGGATCTCTCCTCCACTGCTGGTAAAAGTGAAAACCCACTACTAATTCTTTGCAGAGAATGCAAAACAGGGGAATTTTGTTGGCAAGAAGAAGCAGGGAAGGATTAAAAATTGAAACTTTTTTGTGGTTTTGTGTGGGGAAATGAGCGTGTTGTCAGGAGTGTGTGGCGGTGAGAGCGATTTCAGAGAATGAATGAGCGAATTGATGACTGATTATGAACAGTTGGGGGAGGGATGTTTTTAGGGGAAAAGCTGCTGCCGACAACCAAACGAAAAACAAATGGGTTGGCTTGTTTGTTTGGATGAAAAGAAAAAGGGGAAAGAACTAGAATAGGGTTGATAGTCGGAGAGATGGAGAGATTTGGAAGCTTTGCTTCAATGTAACGTTGATGGCCGGTTGGTGGATTGTTGCGGTTTGGGCTTTGGTAAGCTGTAAATGTCACTCATCACTCTCTCTGGTTCTTTTGCTTAGATGTTAAAACGTCTCCACCAAGGTTCTTTAGAAAAGAAAGGGAGCTCCATTCCCAGAAACATAAGAAAGAACATACTAAATCCGGAGTCCCAAAACTTAATGGCCCGTTGTATAATCTCCACAAGCAAGAGATTGGTTCATAGCTATCATACTTCGAGAATTCCTCGAGAATCATTGCCCCTACTTCGTAAACTCTCACACATTCGTTCAGATATACATGATGGCTATGTTCATGTAATTTTTTAGTCCAAACAGTTTTGTACCCGTAAAAATTATCATGTTATCATTTACCACATATGCACTTTATAGCGTATCGACACACCCAATGAATATTTACCTTAGTTGTCTTCCTAATTTAAGGCCATCAAATATTAGTATCAAATTATAAAGGGTTGATTTGTTATACTCCCAAATCCCAATTCACCTATCGGCAGTTGCCACAATGAAGAAGCAAGACTATTCTTAGTTTATCTTTATGGCCAAGGCCAACTATTTTTAAAAACTCTTTGCTCATCTGTCTCTATCTCTATTCAGCCTTCTGGCTCTGTGCTGAATTCCATGACCACCCACTCCATTATAAGATGATCACGAGCTTTGAATAAAATAAGTTGTGGTTGTATTGAGCCTCAGGCAGGCAGGCAACTTGGTTCGACTAGTTGATTCTTGATTGTCTCATGTGGGGCAGTTACAGTAGTTGGGTTGCCCTTTCTTATCAGTGATAGTGTTTTTTTTTTGGGTTTATTGGGGTCGATTGCAAATTGCAATTGGTCAGCTGAACTTGTAGAGTCAATCATACCCCCTAAAGCTAGCAACGAAATAAGTTAATTCGATTTCGATGAGACTCGTCAAAGATCGTAGAGGTACACAGTTATCGGATCGTGCCACTCTATAGATATTACGCACGATTCGATGGTTGTGCGTCTTGTGAGCATTGTTCTCACAAATGGGTTTATGATCACCATAAATGAGTTGATGTTAGCCTTCCGAGATGTTCTTTACCAGGAAGAGGAATTAAGAGGGTCGTATGTGACCGTCTGTACGAGTGTGATTTGTTGCTTTGGTTGTACATAGACTTTTAGGTTGAGCGATCACACCTAATGACAGTTAACTGTACGACATTTTGTGTTAGCTGTATGATATATATTCTTTTTTTAGTTTCGATCTTATGTAATAAAATTAATTTACTAAATTTTTATTAGTAAATTAATCGAATTGAAACTATAAAAAAAAATCAGGTACTTGATTATGTGGAAATGGGGAAGAAAAGAGGGGTCGAGCTGGATCGAATTACCAGGGCCAGCCGTAACAAGACCTTAAATTAATAGACAACCCAATGGAGAAACTGGATACCAATCAACTTCTCCAACTGAAGGCCTCCCTCGAACTGCTCAAGGCCCGGGGTCGAGAACCAAGCCCATATCAAGGCCCAGGCCCACGGTCTGGCTCAGGCGCACTTCGCCCAGGCCCAAGCCGAGCACCAGAGGCAGCAGCACTTGCAATCTTGCATCAGCTCTACATGAATGCTGCTGCTCTGCCGCCGGCGACTCCCGATCAGCCTCAACCAAATCAATAATCTAGAACATTTGTAATAGAAGAGTACATTTTTGTAATATGAGTACTAGTGATGGCAATGGGGCGGGGCAGGGCGGGTACCTCAATTCTCATGTCCCGCCCCACGCTACTACGGGTTGGGGCAGGTAAAACTCGCGTGGGTATGAGACGGGGCGGGTCGACCAACGCTTACATGGTATTTGAAAAAAATATATACAAATTTTACTTTTTACGATAAAACAAAGGGAAAAACACTTTATGAAAGAAAAATAGTAATTATAGAATGGATAATTGAGGCTAACAAATTGAAATATCGACTCTAACTGGGTGAAGAAAAATCAAAATAAGAGAAATATGTACAGGTACAGTAAGAAATTGAGATAACATGGGTCTAGAACGGGGAGGGGCGGGACAGGGCGGGTCAGAAGTAGATACCCATGTCTCGCCCCACGCTATTACGGGTCGTGTAAAACCCGCCTCATCGCGGGTCAGATCGGGTAATACCCGCGGGTCGGGTTCAAATTGCCATCAGTAATGAGTACTTAAATTGTGGTTCTAACATTTGGTCACATAGACGTTGTATCACCGTACCATTACTTATTCGCCTCTCCATATAGATATTGTGCCCACTAGTTTGTCAAGTCCTTTTTATCACTCCTTATTAAGGTCCTAATAGTATCATGATCATTAAGCTTGCTTAATCTATAGAGAATATTAGCTAAAATCAAGCATTTCTTTAAGGAAAATGCGCATTAGAGGATAACTAAAATTAGAGCTCGATCCTGTTATGTAACAAGCAAAATTTGAATGAATTTATACTGCCTCAAATTGTGAGCCAATGCCCTAATTTTATCATTATTAAATCTTATTTTGAGAAATATCGAGTTTTCGAATTGATAAAAGTCATCCCGCCACTGCGTCCGAAGTTCAAACTCACACGGGAAGTTCCGCTTCTTCTCTCCCAAGCAACCAAACAGAAACAGAGAATGCCTGCTGCTGAGTCTCCATTCCCATCAACTCCGGAAAGCACCGCCGCTGCAGCTCTCCTCCTCCTCTCCGCCACCGTCGAAGCCGCCGACGAGCTTGCTTCTCCATCTCTTTCTCCTCTGACTTGCGCAAAGTAAGTACCGATTCTTGAAAACCGCTTCCGAAGTTTCAATTTCGCGTTACTGTTGATTTGAGCTGGAACTCATCGATATTCTGGTGCTTTCCTCAATTTTGCAGACTTAATTTCGACGCCCAGTCACTGAGCACAGGCCGGAAGTTCAAGTCCAAAATCGGCGCTGAGAAGAGCTCGGTTTCCAGCGGCTCCGGATCTTGCATCTCGTCGTCGCCGGAGGAAGTGGTTCCAGCTCACAAGCTCAGGATCGTCGCTCTCGTTGCTCGCGGCCATGACATGAAGCTCAAGGTCATCTCTCTTTCTCCTTCTCTCTCTCTCTCTCTCTCTCTCACTCGCTGAATCGATCTTCATTCTGTTGAAATAATTAAAGTTTAATTAAAAAATAAAAATAAAAATCAGGAAGAAGCTAGAACCGTGGGTGTGTGTGGAGTTGTGTAGAAACTTAATTAAATGTGGTGGTTGGTTAGTTGAATTATTATAGGTTAAACAATTGAAAAAAATACCAACCACAAGCAAAGGCGGTTTGGCCTTGATATTTTGTTTTGTAATGCCTATAAATAGGCTTGTGTGTTTGTACCGGAGAAGCAGAGCCAAAAAAACAAAATAAGAACAAAGAAGCCTCTCAATAAAGACAAGTGAAGTTCTTTCTCATCACTTCTCTGCCGCCTACATTCTTCCTAAAAAAGCTCTCTTCCAATCTCCAATTATAAAAACCCCAAAACTTTCTTTCCTTGTATAAAACGTGTCCATCATATCAAAAATCCAAATTTCATTTTCTTAGCCCATAAACGTGCCCACCAAATTACTAAAGGAAATAATTTATTTATTTCCAACAAAGTGGTATCAGAGCCCGAGTTATTCTTAAGTATGCTCTGTGGTTGCAGCGTAGTCTGAACTTCCACATCAGAAAAGAATTTCTCGTGTTTTTGTTATCACGATTGTCCCATGGCCGAAAAATCTACTTTCCCCATTCAATTCCCCCACCTTACCAAAACCAATTACAAAAATTGGTGCATTCGTATGAAAGCCTTGCTGGGATCCCAAGATGCTTGGGATATTGTTGAGAAAGGTTACGAGATTCCCGTGGAGGATTCTCGGTTATCTCCTACTGAAAAGGAGGTATTGAGAAAAAATAGAAAGAGTGATCAGAAAGCACTCACTCTCATTCATCAGTGTCTTGAAGAATCGATGTTTGATCAAATAGCAGATGCTACCACAGCAAAGGAAGCATGGGAGATTCTGCAAAAGGAAATGCAAGGCGTGGAACCAGTAAAGAAGGTTCGACTTCAGACACTCAGGGGAGATTTTGAAGCCATTAAAATGAAGGAAGGTGAATCTGTTTCAGATTACACCGCCCGTGTGAAGTCTATCGCCAGCAAACTGAAGCAATATGGGGAGAAAATTGAAGAAACCAAAGTGGTGGAGAAAATTCTACGGTCATTATTACCGAAGTTCGATTATGTGGTGGTGGCCATGGAGGAAGCAAAAGACGTGTCAAAAATGACGGTGGATGAAGTCATCGGCTCACTGCAAGCCAGAGAGGAAAGGCTAAATAAAAGAAATGAAGAATCGTCAGAACAAGTGTTAGCTACAAAAGCTACCACTGAGGAGAAAGAAGGCGCACGAGGAGGAGGTCAGTACAGAGGTCGAAGCAGAGGCAACTACAGAGGCAGAGGAAGAGGAAGAGCTCGAGGAGCATATCAAAGCAGAGATGGAGGAAATCTCACCACGAACAATTATGAAACGTCCACCAGAGGCAGAGGTCGTGGTCGTGGACGTGGAAGAGGAAGTTGGAGATCAAATGAAGGTCGTGATAAATCCAACGTCCAGTGCCATAATTGCTCGAAGTACGGGCATTATGCATCGGAATGTTGGAGTCCGCCTAAAGAAGTGGAGGAGACAGCAAACAACGTGCAAGAAGAAGAAGTCAGAGGCACATTGATGCTGTCACATCAAGGAGATGAGAAACCGAAAGACAACATGTGGTATCTGGATAATGCAGCAAGCAACCACATGTGTGGAAAAAGAAACATGTTCGTGGATATGGATGAATCGGTGAAAGGAAATGTCGTATTTGGAGACTCCTCGAAGGTTCCTATCAAAGGCAGAGGAACTATACTCATCCGGCTCAAGAATGGCTCACAGCAATTTATCAGTGATGTGTACTATGTCCCAGACATGACTAGTAACATCCTGAGTTTGGGTCAGTTGATGGAGAAGAATTATGAAGTCCATATGGTGAATCGTCAACTGGAGCTGTTAAATGAGAAGAAGCAGTTGTTGGCCAGAGTCCCAATGTCGAGAAACAGAATGTTCACCCTGAACATTCAGACTGAAATGGCGAAGTGTTTGAAAGCATGTGTGAAGGACAATACATGGCTATGGCATCTGAGGTATGGCCATCTGAATTTTGGAGGCCTGAAGTTACTCGGTCATAAGAAGATGGTGCATGGTCTGCCAGTGATCAATCATCCAGACCAATTGTGTGAAGGATGCTTAGTTGGAAAGCAATTCAGGGCAAGTTTCCCGAAGGAGTCCTTGTCAAGAGCTAAAGCACCACTTGAGCTTGTCCATGCAGATCTCTGTGGTCCGATCACTCCAACATCATTTGGGAAGAACAAATACTTCCTATTGTTCATTGACGACTACAGTAGAAAGACATGGGTTTACTTCTTGAAGCAGAAGTCAGACACATTTGAAGCTTTCAAGAAGTTCAAGATGATGGTGGAGAATGAAAGTGGCCGCTACATTAAAGCCATGAGATCAGATAGAGGTGGAGAATTTATGCTCAAGAAATTCAGAAGGTTCTGTGAATATCAAGGAATTCGCAGGTTTCTCACAGTGCCAAGATCGCCACAGCAGAATGGAGTTGTTGAGAGGAAGAACAGAACTGTACTCAACATGGCGAGAAGTATGATGAAGAGCAAAAACCTGCCGAAGGAGCTATGGGCTGAAGCTGTTGATTGTGCAATCTACCTGCTGAACAGGTCACCAACAAAGAGTGTTTGGAATCAAACACCCCAAGAAGCATGGAGCGGAAGGAAACCCACAATCTCTCACCTCCGAGTCTTCGGAAGTGTTGGATATGTGCACGTACCGGATCAAGAAAGGAAGAAGTTGGATGACAAAAGCAAGAAGTACATATTCCTGGGATACTCAGAACACTCAAAAGGTTACAAAATGTTTGATCCCGTGGAAGAGAAGCTGATCATCAGCAGAGACGTGGTAGTTGATGAAGAAGCAACATGGGATTGGACTGCTGAAGCAAAGAAGAATTACACTTTTTATCCATTCACTATGGATGAAAGTGACGATGAACCAGATGGTGATACACCTGTGACAAGTCCACCCAGTCACAGAGAACCTGCCAGCCCAGAAGGAGAATCAAGTGAAAGTCCGAAAGAGAGGCCACAAAAATACAGACGTCTTGAAGATCTATATGAGGAAACTACAGTCATTGAAGGTGATGAATTGACACTATACTGTCATTTCATTGATGATGAACCAGTGGATGCTGAAGAAGCCATGAAAGATGAAAAATGGAGAAGAGCCATGGATGAAGAAATTGGAGCAATTGTGAAGAACAAGACTTGGGAGCTTGTGTCGCTACCTGAGAACCAGAAGCCCATCGGTGTGAAGTGGGTATTCAAGGCCAAGAAAAATGCTAAAGGAGAAGTCGTCAGACACAAAGCAAGATTGGTGGCAAAAGGATTAAAGACTTTGCTCCCGTGGCGAGAATGGAGAGTATCAGGATGGTGATATCTCTCGCTGCTCAAAATGGATGGAAGATACATCAGATGGATGTGAAGTCAGCTTTTCTCAATGGATATCTCGAGGAAGATATCTATATTGAGCAACCCCCTGGATATGTCGTTGAAGGCCAAGAAGATAAGGTGTTGAAGCTGAAGAAAGCACTGTATGGTCTGAAACAAGCACCTAGAGCTTGGAATAGCAGGATTGACAAGTATTTTCGGCAAAATGGGTTCAGCAAATGCCCGCATGAGCATGCACTATACTGCAAGGTGCAAGGGGGAGCAATATTGATGGTTTGCCTATATGTAGATGATCTCATCTTCACAGGCAATGATCCTCAAATGTTTGAAGAGTTCAAGAAGACGATGGTTCGTGAGTTCGAGATGACAGACATCGGACTAATGTCATACTATCTTGGAATTGAAGTAAGTCAAAAAGAGGAAGGAATTTTCATCTCACAGAGTGGCTTCGCAAAGGAGGTCCTGAAGAAGTTTAAGATGGAAAGCTGTAATCCTGTGAGCACACCAGCAGAGTGCGGACTGAAGTTATCTAAGGATGATAAAGAAGAGAAGGTAAACTCAACGGAGTTTAGAAGTCTCGTGGGAAGTCTGAGATATCTGACTTGTACCAGACCAGATATCCTCTATGCAGTTGGATTAGTCAGCAGATACATGGAGGCACCAACTATGTCACACTGGAATGCTGCCAAGAGGATATTACGCTACATCAAAGGTACAATTGATCATGGTTTACTTTATACCAAGTCAGAAAATTTCAAATTGGTTGGATATTGCGATAGTGATTGGGCAGGAGACGTGGATGATCGCAAGAGCACTACAGGATTTGTATTTTTCCTGGGAGATACAGCTTTCACATGGAGTTCAAAGAAGCAAGCTATAGTGACACTGTCTACTTGTGAAGCTGAGTATGTTGCTGCGACATCGTGTGCGTGTCATGCGATATGGCTGAGAAAGTTGCTGAAGGAATTGAACATGACACAGGAAGAGTCAACTGAGATATTTGTGGATAACAAGTCTGCCCTGGCATTAGCGAAGAATCCGGTATTTCATAATCGCAGTAAGCACATTGATACAAGATATCATTTTCTGAGAGAATGCGTTGAGCAGAAAGAAGTTATGCTGAAGTATGTGAAGACAGAAGACCAAATTGCTGATATTTTCACGAAACCACTGAAGCAAGATGTGTTCGTCAAGATGAGGACGCTACTCGGAGTTACGAATAATTAAACTTTAAGGGGGAGTGTTGAAATAATTAAAGTTTAATTAAAAAATAAAAATAAAAATCAGGAAGAAGCTAGAACCGTGGGTGTGTGTGGAGTTGTGTAGAAACTTAATTAAATGTGGTGGTTGGTTAGTTGAATTATTATAGGTTAAACAATTGAAAAAAATACCAACCACAAGCAAAGGCGGTTTGGCCTTGATATTTTGTTTTGTAATGCCTATAAATAGGCTTGTGTGTTTGTACCGGAGAAGCAGAGCCAAAAAAACAAAATAAGAACAAAGAAGCCTCTCAATAAAGACAAGTGAAGTTCTTTCTCATCACTTCTCTGCCGCCTACATTCTTCCTAAAAAAGCTCTCTTCCAATCTCCAATTATAAAAACCCCAAAACTTTCTTTCCTTGTATAAAACGTGTCCATCATATCAAAAATCCAAATTTCATTTTCTTAGCCCATAAACGTGCCCACCAAATTACTAAAGGAAATAATTTATTTATTTCCAACACATTCATCATCTCGTTTTCTCTGTTTCCGACGCTATCGGTCTTCCGTTTGGCTGAATTCGAACCTCAATTGTTGCTTCGATGTTCATCTGTTCGTCTGAATTGAGCTCGATTACTTGAATTCAAACTAAGCTCCACCGACTAGAAATCTGCATTGCTCGAGTTCCAATTTCAAATGCTGTTTGGCTGATCAAAATCGCAGATATCTTCAGCTTCTGTTTCTCAGCTCCGATTCTCAACTTATCTCACTGCTTCAAATCTCTGAGTTCCGAACTCTTGAAAACTTCTCGATCGCCATTTTTGTCTCAGATTTTCCTATACCACTGATTGTAGATCGTTGCTTCTCTGTTTGAGTGCTAAGTTCTACGTATTCAATTGATCTCAGAGCTCAATCGGATGGATTTCCAATTAACGTATAAGATTTTCTTATCAGATCTAAGCCTCATAATCTTGAATTTGCTAGAATTGTTTCGTTTCTGAATGTCCAGATTCAAATTGTTTTCGCCTGAACACATCAATGCCAGGATTAAGCAATTCCGGAATTTCAAATTTTGCGGTGGAATTTTCTCAGGTTGTGCGGAAGAAGCGGTCCAAAGTCTACTGGACATCGATTGATCGCAAGGAGCTAGTCCTCGGCTACCCGGAGGCTTCCAAATCTGCGGATTCCACTGAGACTTCGTGCCTGTCGACCACTTCCAGCGCCGCTTCGAGCGCCCGGAGCCGATACAGCACCACCGGAACTGCCAAGAGAACAGAGTCTCCCAGCTGCGCAGAGAAGTGGAGGAAGAAGCAATCCGCGTCAAGCTCCAGCTCCAGCTCCGTATGCGGCTCAACTCACATGAAGCACCAAGCCGACTCCATCCTGAAGCTGCTCTCTCGCGGCTCTTTCTCAGAAGTCAGGATTCGTCAACTCCTCGGTGACAGTCCTGACACAAGCAAAGCCCTCAGAATGTACGCTTCTTCTTCTTCTTCTTCTTCTTCTTCGATGGAGCTTGTAACTTGTTTGGTTGTTCCGATTGCAGGCTGCTGAGGCGAGAGGAGATTAAGAGATCAGGAAGTGGCGGGCGTCTGGATCCATATATTTACAAGGTATAACCTTACAACCTTGTGAGATGAACAGTGTAGTGATTATGGCAGGGTTATGAATATGGGGAAATCTGGCCCTTTTTCAGGTAGCTTGAGGCGACCACCTAAGTATAATAGATAGGGAAGTGATCAGACAGCTTGAGCTTGGCAATGGCATCACTAGGAAAGGCAATGGATATCAGTAAATAGGAGGAATCTATACATATACTTATATATACATATAGAGTTGAAGAATATATAGTCTTAAGTTTGAGGAGAATCAAATTCTAGACAATCCTGTAGCCTATAGAGCACGAATACTGAACAGGCTCATTCCTCCTGCCCAGACAAAAGGAGCAGCAGCATCCTTTATTCTGGAGCAAGGTCGGGGGAGGGAATTTGACAATTTGTCATAAGCATACAATTGAGAATCAGAATACTGAGCAATAAGTTGATATTGATATTTAAGTCGATGGTCATTAACCAATTTACAGAACTGAACGGATGGCAGATATACATACTAGAAAAGAGTTTTGAGTGCAGATCATGAACATCAAGCACACTCACTCAAACCAAACATATGTGAGTTGTGACTACTAATAGCAACAGATAATAAATAACATACCAACATGAGAGAAAAGATTCAAACTCCTGATACTAGGTCGGTAGCTAGCAACATAAGAATTTACTACTTCAGAATCAACATCTTGGGGGGTGTACGTCAATGAGAGGTAATGCGAAGCAAACTTCATTTTTCGCCCGAGTCTGGTGAATCGGGGGTCATCACCTCGTCCTCTGCAGTTTCGTACTCGAACTTTTTCCAATCATCGACCGTGTTCTTGCCGTACATGCAATTTTCCTCGGGTGGATGCTCGATTTCCTCCGGACAATAGATGCAGGCTTTGTGGAGTTGATCTAAGCAAAACCAGCACTATAATCATTATTATCTTCATCCATCGACCTATTTGTTTACGAAGTTTCTAAGTAGTATCCTAAGGTCTAAACCGAATACAATTTGTTCTTTATGTACGGTCGAATCGGAGTACTTACCACTACCAGGTGCAAAACTCTCCATGTCGATGCAATTCGGAACTTCCAAACGTCCACCATAGTATCTTACAGTCTCTGCGAAAAACCGGTGGGGGGAGGAAGAAGGGTTGTTCTCCTCCCTAGCAGTGAAGTTGAGGTGGGTGACAATTGCAAGGTGAAACAGTGTGTTCCTGCTACGCTTGGGTTCATCGAGCACATACTTGACACCCTGCATCACGGCAAACCAAAATCCGATGCGGACCATATTAAAGCTAAGCTAAGCAGAGCAGAAATTCAATCCAACGGCAACAAGTTAAGTGAGGAGTTAATTATTGGGGGAAACTAAAGCGCTAGCCAGGGAACTAAGAAAAACAACACAAACCCTAATCATGTGCTACTGTTTCTACCTTGTTCTTCTCGTTGTAAGAGTTCAAGGCTTCTTTGGCAATCATAGCGGTTTCCTTTCTCGTGATTTCCCGTTCTTCTGCGGTCTCATCATCGGAGTCAAACCACCTGCAATGTAAATCGAGGACACCCACTGGTTAAAAAAAAAAAAAACCTAGCTAGCAGCTAATTTCTGGAGAACAAGCAAACGAACAAAATAACAAAATTCACCTACCACGTTGGTTCTTCCGGGTCTCGGTTAATCACCGAACATGCCACCAATTGTTCATAAAATTTGCTGTTGCGATTGCGACCGTGTTCATCCAATGATACAGGCAACTCGTCGTCGTCGTCGTCCTCCTCCTCCTCCTCTTCCACCATAGGATCGGCCGCTAGCTTCTCTTCTCCTGGCGCCGGATTTATAAGCGCATACGGCGACGGCGACGGCTCTACCACATCACGCTGATCAGGTCGGCCTTGGGTCTTTTGCTTTTTGGGTGAAGGAGGTTCTTCCGTCGCTTGGACTTCCGCTCGATCGTCGATTCGAGAATGGGAACTGCTTCCGGCGGCTGTCGCAGGTCGAGCCTCCGCCATCTGGGAGCGACGAGTCGCGGTGGCCGGTGTCTGGGAGAGATCGCCGATCGGGCGCTCGGGCTCGGCTGACCGCTGTTCTTCTTCCCTTTTCGATTACGCTGCTACTGCTAGCCTAGGGTTTTTGGTAGAAGCGAAGGCCGAAGAGAAAGAGATGGGAGGATTTGGGGATTGGGTCGGGTTTCTGGCGGGTTATGAATATGGGGAAATCTTGCCCTTTTTCAGGTAGCTTGAGGTAAGTATAATAGCTAGTGTTGATGTGACTTGAATCGGACTATCAGCCGCTATGACTGGTAATCGGGGGTCGCGCTGATATAGTAAAACTGACTCTCTCTCGCCCGTGGACGTAGCTTTAGACCCACATGGAGAAGTAATATAAATACTTCTCATACTCCTCTGTAATTTGTAATCTCCTTGATATAGTGAAATTGGCTTTCTCTCGCCCGTGGACGTAACTAACACACATCGTGTTAGTGAACCACGCAAATCGTGTGTCTGTGTTTTTCGATTCTCGCTTTCGTATTCTTGCTTTGTCGATTCCAGCGATTTCCCGATCTGTAACAGCGCGTTTATAACAGCTAGGGAAGTGATCAACAACTAACTCAAACTCGACTCGTTTTAATAAATTAGCTTGTTGACGAGTAGAGTGTCGACGGTTTTTTTCCTCAGTTGAACGTCGAGCTGCTACTGAGCGGTTTGGTTCGTTTACAACGGTAGTATCAAGTATACGTCATTCTTTATTGTCCATCACCAACCCATCTAAGAATGACTTGGTGATGTGTGGGATTTCAAAGTTTAATCTGTGGACTAGAATCAGTCAGAACTCTTGCACAGAGCAAGGCAGACTGCTGATTCTGTCTAGCCAGAGTACATAATAATTTTAGATAGTAAAATGAAGAACATATAGTCTTTTTAAGTTTGAGGAGAATCAAATACTAGACAATCCTGTAGCCTATAGTGCACGAATACTGAACAGGCTCATTCCTGCCCAACAACGTGCTTCAATCCTCCTTTCTTGTGTGAAAAGGAGCAGCAGCATCCTTTATTCTGGAGCAAGGTCGGTGGAGGGAATTTGACAATTTGTCATCAAACTCATAAGCATACAATTGAGAATCAGAATACTGAGCAATAAGTCGAGATGGTCATAACCAATTTACATAACCGATGTCAGATATATATATACTAGAAAAGAGTACTGAGTGCAGATCATCAACATCAAGCACACTCACCTAAACCGAATAGATGGTGCTACTAATAGCAACAAAATCATAGATAACATACCAAAACGAGATAAAAGTTTTCAACTCCAAATACGAGCATGGAGTGCAAAATTAAGTTAAATAACGTTAGATCGGCAGCTAGCAACATAAGATACTACTTCTGAAGTAGTATCTTATGTTGCTAGCTGCCGAATCCAGCTTCATTTTTCACCCAAGTCTGGTGAATCGGGGGTCATCACCTCGTCCTCTGCAGTTTCGTACTCGAACTTTTTCCAATCATCGAACGTGTTCTTTCCGTACTCGAAATTTTCCTCGGGAGGGTGCTCGATTTCCTCCGGACAATAGATGCAGCCTTTGTGGAGTTGATCTAGCAAAATCGGCGATATTGTTCATTATTACCTTCATCCATCTATCTGTTTACAAAGTCACCCTAAGTCCTAAACCGAATACAGTTTATTTTTATATATATATATATGCTTGAATCAGAGTACTTACCAGATGCAAAACTCTCCAAGTCGACACAATTCAGAACGTTCAAAGGTCCACGATAGTATCTTAAAGTCTCTGCGAAAAACCGGTGGGGTGAGGAAGAAGGGTTGTTCTCCTCCCTGGCAGTGAAGTTGAAGTGGGCGACAATTGCAAGGTGAAACAGCGTTGTCCTGCTACGCCTGGGCTCATCGAACAGAAACTTGACACCCTTGCATCACATAGCAATGCCCAAAATCAGATACAAAGCTAGGCTGACCATAATTTATCGGTAAAAAGACATAATAATCAATCGAAACGCGAGACAATAACTGATCTTTTTTTCGAAACGAAACCATCTCCAGCTACCCTATCCACAAATACATACTTCACTCGCGTTCTTCGATCTGGAATTGCAATTCTAGATCATGACATGTTTCGATTACTTTTGTATGATTAGTTAAGTTATTAATCATTTCAAACTGAACTAAAAGTAAAAAAAGGGTTCATAGCATAAACGGCTCTTTTTTTTAATTATGACCGGTCGAGTCGGAGTTGACGGCATCCGGGTGGATAATTTAGTTGATATTAGAGTAACAGTAGGAAGGCAAGTTTGATGTAACACATAATAGAGGCGCAGATTTGAGAAAAAAAATCATAGTAGAGGGATAATTTATGTTATGAACCCTAAAAAAACATATTAGAAAGTTGTTATTTCTACTAAAAGTCGCTCTTTTGCACAAAAGCCTAACAATTTTTTTCCAAACCTTGATATCAACTAAGAAACACAAAACAAACTAGGAACCAGGTGGTGCTTCTTGTACCTTATTCTTCTGGTTGTAAGAGTCCAATGCTTCCTTGGCAAGCATGGTGGTTTCTCTTCTCGTGATTTCCCGTTCTTCTTCAGTCTCATCATCAGAGTTAACCAACCTGCCATATATATAGAAGACATCAAAAACTAATCATGAAACTAGTAAAAAAAAAACCCTAGCTAGCAGGTAATTCTGGAGAACAAGCAAACAAATAAAATGAATAAGAAAAAATTCACTCACCACAATGGTTTTTCCGGGTCCCTCTTAGTCCAGGAAAATGCCGCCAATTCATCAGCATATTTGCCAGGCGACTCTTCGTCCTCCTCCTCTATAGCATCGACTGCTAGCTCCTCTTCTCCTGGCGCCGGATTTATAAGCGCCGGCGGCAACGGAAACAACGGCGCGGGCTCTACCACATCGCGCTGATCAGGTCGGCCTTGAGTCTTTTGTTTTTTGGGTGAAGGTGGTTCTTCCATCGCTTGGCCTTCCGCTCGGTCGCTGATTCGAGATTGGGAACTGCTGCCGACGG